CGCCGCCCCCCGAGCGGGCTTGCGTCCCGACCACACCTCCAACCAGGCTGGGTGCCCAAGACCCGCCAAGGAAAGGCGCCTGACACCCTGCCCGCCCACTCACGGTGGCGACTCATTCCCGCCCAGTCCGCGTGGCGACGAGCCGGCCCTGGCCTCTCGCCGCGCGACCCACAGCTACCAAGTCCGTCGGGGCACCACCGGCCGTCAGCGCGGCACCTGACCCCCCCCCGAGAGCGCGGAACCCAGCAGCCTCGAACGGCAGCAAGGGCGAGTCCCGGACACGCCCATCCAGGGCTCCTTTTGCCCGCTCGCAACGGACAGCCCGTGCATCCAGGGCGGCGACTACGTGGTCATCAGGGGCGAAAGCGCTCCCCCGCGCCAGGTGGTTCAGCTCGGCGGACAGGACCGAGCCCCTGTCGACGCAACCCCTGGACGGAGCGGTATTCGGGCCCGTCCTCAACGTCTTGGCCCGCGAACAGGACGGGCGGACCCTTATCGTCCAGATCGGCAGCGAGTGGCTGGAAGTCTGGGGCGCTGGTACCAGGACGCTACGAGTGAACGTCCTCCGCGGCGACGCAGCGCTCCGGGCAGCCGCCTTCCTGGGCAGGACCTACGACGAGGCGCGCGGGGCGCAGGCGCCAGCGGCCCCCGCCAGCTCCTGGCTCGGCGCCGACATCGGGGACGACAAAGTGACGTCCCCAGAAGGGACTCCGCCCGACTCCAAGCCCGAACCTTGCGCGCCGCGTACGGACACGCAAGATCCCACCCACGAGCCTGCGCCCCTTGTGCGCCCTGAGGAGGAGGGCCCCGATTGGACCAACGACGACCAGAAACAAGAGAGGAAGCAGAGGCTCGCGGAGGCCCTAAGCACGGTCCATGTGGTCTCCCCATCCTCAGACCCCGACGCAGTCGAGGAGGGCCAGGCCAAGTTGAGCCCTCGTGACGAACGACGCCGCAGTCCCGAGCGCGACTCAAGCAGTACCTACCAGATCCAGCCAGCCTGCGCACCCACGGAACCGACCGTGTTTTTGACGGCCGCTGCCGACAGCCGGGCGTTGCACACGCGGCCCAGATCCAAAGGCCCGGAAGACAGGCGCCCCGCGCTCAACCCCCCCCCTCCGCACGAGCGAGAGCGCTTGCGCGGCAGGGCGCGGGGGCCAGTTGCCTGGGAGTCAAGCGAGACTGCGGTGAGGCGCGCGCCCAGAGAAACCGGCGACCGGGCCCGTGCTGGAGAGCGCGACCGCGACCGCGACCGCGACCGCAACCAGGGCGCAGCGGGGGCACCGTGGCGCAAGCAAGACGCCAACGACTGGGGCAGAACCAGGGAGCGCCACTGGGATCAGGACCGCGACAGTGGCAGGGGCACAGGGCGAACCCCCTGGCGCCAAGCAGAACCGCGAAGCTCTCACCGCGGGGGCGATCGCCGCTACCCTGACCCCAGCCGCCCGCGGACAATCTTCCGCGTCAGCTGGCAGCGCCGCCCGCGCGAGACAGCAGTCACACGCCTGAAGAGGCTGCAGGCCGAGGGGGGATGCCACTTCGCCGCAGCCTGGCACTCGCGGTGCAGGCATATGTGTAGGGGGCAGGGCAAAGGCAAATCCAAAAACCAGGTCGGTTTCGACCCGAACCGCTGGCAACAATGGATACTCGACAAATTCCTGGAAGACATGGACAGCGGCGACCATCGCGTGGAGACGTGGTCTCGCAACGCCGGCGTCTACGTGGACTGGGGCCGGGAGAAGGCCCTGTGCCAGGGCGTCCAGGAGAAAAGAGAGGTTGCCAAAGGTGGAGGGCGCGGGGGGCGGAAAGCGCCCTAGGCGCTGACCAGCCCGCAACCGGGCCTCCCCTGACTGACACAGCACGCCGCGGCCGCCCGCCTACGCTCCCAACATCTTGCGGCGAGGTCCTGGTCCTACCCGCCGCTGGCCGCGCCCACCACCTGTTCCCCCTTCCCCTTCCCTCGTCACCTGGCTTGGGAGCGTGTGTCCCCCTGTTCCCCTACCTGTTCCCCCGCGGCCTTGGCTGGGGGGGCTGATGCTGGAGCCTGGCCGCCCGCGTGCGCCCCCGGCGGGCGCATGTTGCAGGCGCGCGCAGCCTGTCGGGCGCAGCAGCGGCGCGCTTGAGACGCGCGCGGTCCACTCACAGCATCCGCTTGCTGGTCCACCTGTCCCCCGACCGTGTTGCCTGCCCCCCCCCGCACCTCTCTTTAACGTGTACTGGGACCGTGTGTCCTACCTGTGCCAATTGGGAGCCCATCCCCCCAAGTGAGCACCTGCGATGCGGGCTGGCACGTCGAAGGCTGGCGGTGGCCGCCGGCCTTTCTCCTCCCTGTTCGCTTCTTCCCCCCCCCGCTCGCTTCCCCCCCTCCCATGGCGGCGGCGCCCGGCGCTGCGCGGCTTCGGCCCAGTGCCGGGCGCTGCGCCTTGCCGCCTCGGCGGCCCCGCTCGTCATGGCGCGGCGCGGCTCAGGCCCGGCCCTCGGCAGTGCGGATGTCAGCGCATCGTGTGTGCCTGCTGCCCGTCTTCACGCGCTGGCGGTGCAGGGCAGGTGTTCTCCCTGCAGTTCACCGGCGTCCTGTCAGTCATGAGCGGCCCCCTCGTCTGAGGCCGCTCCTCAAGCAAGCTGCTACCTGGTCGTGGTTTGGACTTCTACCCCGGGCCTCTCCCGCATCGCCCGGTGGCGCAACGTTGCGCATCGCCTTCGCGGTGCTCCTCTTCTTCTTGGGTGTCGACCTGGTCAAGTGGCACGTCGCCCTCTGCAGCGCTGGAGGCTGGTGTTCGTGATGCGCTGTCGACGGCGACGCCTTCTCCTCCACCCTCCGGGACTTCGCCCCCGGTGCCAGTCCGCGGCGCGCCTGCTCCTGCACTTCCTCTTCGGCGCCGCCTGCGCCCCAGGGCCTCGCCCACTCCGGCCGCCTGAGATCCCGCTTTCCTGTGCCCAGTCTCACTAATTCAAGCTGTGCGTAGCGCGCCTAGCTTTTAGCCGAAGAGGTTCGCTCTCGCCCCGCAGATCAAAAACTGTGTGTTCCACCGTGCTCCTGTGTGTTCTGCCGTGCTCTTGTTACCGTGCTCCTATTGTATTTGCGTGTTCTGCCACGCATTTGCATGTCCTGCCGTGCTCCTGTGTGCTCTGCCGTGCTCCTGTGTATTCTGTGTTTTCTGCCGTACTCCTCATACTCTTCTGTGCTCTGCCTTGTTTCTGTCTGTTCTGCTGTGCTCCTGTGTGTTCCGCCGTGCTTCCGAATGTTTTTTGGGTTCTGCCGTGCTCCTGCGTGTTCTGCCATGCTCCTGTGTGTTCTGCCGTGCTCTTGTGTGTTCTGCTGTGCTCCTGTGTGTTTTGTGTGTTCAACCGTGCTCCTTGTGCTCCTGTGTGTTCTGCCGTGCTCCTGTGTGCTCTGCCGTGCTCTCGCGCGTTCAGCCGTGCTTCTGCGTGTTGGGCTGCCGTGGGCCTGCCCATTCTCTGAATATGTATCAGGCAAAAAGCTCAGTTTTAACACGCATGATCTTACACCATCCTTTTCAGCATCTCATTTTGTCGGGGGCGGCAAAGAGGGGGGTGATGATTTAGGGGGGGATATCGTGGCGTGGGCCATGGTATTTCCCCAGATCTCATGGCGCCTCTAATTACTTCATTGCGTCCATGGCCCCCCCCCCCCTGGCCGCGCACGTGCCGCTGGCCATGATTTGCGCCCCCCCTCTTGGACGCCCCCCTCTTGGCGGACCCCGAAAAAAATCAAGACGGAGGTTTTTCATACTTTTTGGCTTCTAGGGACCGTCGGTGGGCCCTGGGACCGTCAAAAAACGACTCAGAATGAAAATCCTCTATTGGGAAATGGGTCGAGACTTCCGGGGACCCCGTGTGGAAAGAATCACGACATCGGATCTCTGGGACTACAGTCGGGTATAGCCAGGACCCCGGTTCAGGGGAGCCTGTTGGTGATTGGGCCCCGAAGCCCAAAATATGAACTGGAAGGTCTGCCGTAGCTGGTGCTTTTCGGGTGACGGCAATTCTGGTCAGTGGAATGGGACGGGGGGATGCCGTCCCTGGTACAGATCATTAAAGCAGGTCCCACAAGTCGCCCGATACAGTGAATCCGCATGGTAAGGATGCTCGAAGACGAAGAGACGCCATAAACATACACTCTTGGCGCTCCGCGCGGATTGCTTGGATCCGTGCTGGGCCCGCCTGGACGGCGCCTCCGGCGCCGCTCCTGGCGCGCTCCGCGCGCCAGGGAGTGGCGTCCAGCGTAGATCCAAGAAGTCCGCGCGGAGCTCCCAAAGTTTATGTTTATAGCGTTTTTTCTTTTCTAAGTCAATTCGCATGATAAGGATACTCGGTAAGGATATCGAGGTCTCACAGATGGGGTCCGAGAAGATGGCGCGACGTGGTGACCCGGCAGTCCCAGCGGCGCTGATCGCAAACCACACCCCAGCGAAACCGCACCCACTGTGCTGAGAAGTCACATAGCAAGGATGAGCAGCTTTCCAAGGCTACCCTTGAATCCTTGCCCCCTCGGCCCATCCTTGGCGACTCTCGCTGGCAAACCCAGTTCCAAAACGCCAACATGGCTCTCCAAGGCCCTTGCATCCCAGAGGCCTCCTGGATGGTGTCGGAGGATCGCGCCGCATCGCCGATGCATCGGCGAAGCGTCTCGATGTGGAGTCCGATTTCCTCCACGCCGACGTTGCCGATGCATCACCTGCTTCCACGATGCATCGCCAGTGCATCGCCGATGCATGGCCGATGTATCGACTCCATCTAGGAGGCCTCTAGGATGCAAGGGCCTTGGAGGGCCATGTTGGCGTTTTGGAACTGGGTTTGCCAGCGAGAGTCGCCAAGGATGGGGGCAGCCTAAGGTTTGATGAGCCCTCGTCGGGTCGTGGCGGAGGTCTCTGTCGAGGTCCTCGCCCGCCCCACCAGGCACGGGTTGCAAACCGCACCCTCTGCAAACCACACCCTTCGGATTCGCCGAGGACTGCCCTGACCTCAGAGATCCGAGGCTCCAGAAGAGTCGGAGTGGCCGGGCGGTTTGTGGCCATCCTTCTGCTTCCGCGGGCTTCAGCGGGCCACGGGAACGTGAAACAAAAAAGACTCTGGACGATAAGCCGGCCCTAGGGAAGTGGTGCAGGCCTCCGGGGTCCACGCATCGAAACAGCTGGAGCGCCGGATGTCTTGGGACGTCCGTGGCCAGTTCGGCCGAGGCTATTTTTGTATGGCTAGAGCACGCTCGTGCGCATGGCACGGGACGCTTCTTTTTGTCGTTTGCTTCTTGGCGTGCGTAATCTCGGTATTTTTGTTTCTCCCTCGTCGGGCCTTCAGTGCAACTGGTACGAGTCATCGCGCGAAATGGTATTTGAGGGAGCCAGGCACCGACTGCGCGGTCCCATTCGTTGCTGCCGACGGTGTTTTACGTCCAGGTGAGGCTGCTCAGCTACATGCGGCATATTCGGGCCGAAGTGAAGGAGAATTCTGGTTCGGGCGAAGCGATGAGCCCCGAGACATTCTGGAGGAGGCAATTCATCGTTTGCTTGTATACGATTTGCAGCATATTCTTCCAGGAGGTGTTGCCGCGACTGTGGCTGGTGTGTCCTGGCGCATCATCTACCTCAACAATTCACGACCCCAGCACACTTTTCATTTCGACAGCGACGAAGCCACGGACTATGCCATGGAGGATATTCCTTTGATACATCCTCTGCTCTCCACTGTTACCTATCTGAGTGATCTTGGCGGACCTACTGTTCTGATGAACTACACGATGGCCGACCCAGAGGACCCGCTCAAACTGCCTTCGAACATGTGGTTGGTCATGCCTCGAGCGGGCAAGCATCTGGCGTTCGATCCTCGCCTGCTCCACGGCGTCTTGAGCGCCCTGCGCAGCCCGTGCGTCTCCTCGCTCGCTGGCTGCGCTGGATCCTCCCGCGATAGCCGCTTCGTGCTGGGAATGAACTTCTGGGAGGTTCGTAGTGCCGAAAGTCGACCGAATGAGTACAGACCAGGCAGCCTGCGACACTTCTCTGCAGCCGGGAGTGCCAGCGAGGCAGAGTCAGAGGTCCGGGTGCCCACAATGTGTGGTGCTGCGGGCGGGCAGGACCGACGAGTCATTTCTGCGAGCCCTGGTGAGAACGTGCAACGTTTCGAGCTGCAAACGTTCGGGTTCGGTAAAGATGTTAGAGAGTTGTGGCACCCAATGGATATTTTCTTGAAAGTTCCTCGTTTGCAGCTACTCGATTTCGAACATGCTGAACGGGGGGGTACATACGATTACACCCTCGATGCGTCGGCTATTGAGTATGTTTATGATCACCCAGGTCGCAAGGTCCAAGCAGCACGGACTAATTTTGATAAGGTTGCCCACGCAATCGCTGTAAAGATGCTGAGGAACCGATGTGAGCTGTTCGAGCTTAACGCTTCTGCAATGAATCCACCAGGCGCCGTGAAGTTCTGCAGCCGTGCTGATGAGCTCTAGTAATGTTTATCTGCGGGTTCTGCATCCTGTGTACCTTTTTGCGTTACCACGCCATCGAGAGCAACTTAACGACTGATTTCGCCGACGAGGATCATAATCAGTGATAGACACGGGCAGGAAGCAGCAGGGAAGCGTCTGAAAGGAATGTTCGGCGACGAAGCAGGCATGGCAACAGGGGCCGATATTGGCTCAGGGATCGCTTCATATGTTCCTTTATACGGACTGCTTAGAGGCCCCACACTCGGCGATGCTGGGTCTCGGGGGAGGCCTCGCGGGAAGTGGGTGGTATTCCGTAGGGATTTCTCCCTGAAGGCCGGCCTCCCTTAAAGTGGGTACGACTTGGGCTCGGGAGGAGGCCAGCCTTCCTTCCCCCCACCCGGGAGAGGACCTATTGAAGCCAACGGAAGATGGCCACCCATCTATCTGCATCAATCTTGGGCACGAGACAGATGCACAGCCACTGAGGAGGACTGGGGGTCGGGGAGTGCAGGAAAGCGAAGCTCGAAGCTGTTTTCCTGGTCGGGGCCACGACGTGCCCCGCGAGCGTTGGTCCACACCACCACGCGTGAGTTTTACACCAGGCTTCGGGTTGACGCGGCCTGGGAGAAATTGAGTCTCGTCGGGATGTTGACGCCTGTCGCTGCAGCCGCGCCTCTCGAGAGCTTTCCGGGGCGCCGTGCCATTCGGCGCAGCCGACGTGCAAGCGGAATGCCCCCCCCCCGGCCCCCCCCCCTGTTCTGGGCCGCAGTAGTAGACGCGGGAGGGGAGGCAGGAAGCGTGCGACGCCACAGAGAGGGGAGGCAGGTGACCGTAGCCTCTGGCTCGAGCGAGCCCAGCAGCAGAGGCACGCAAAAAACCACCCCATCCCCAACAGACCCACCACCTGGGCACCGTCGAGCGGGCCGGGGGGGCGGGAACGGGGACAAGACAGATTTGACCTCCACCTTCGTGTGACGGCCAGCTAAAGCTGGGACGGCAAACGAGGGGGGCAAGCGAAAGTCCGTACCAGCGCGCACCGCCAAGCGGGCGTGGGGGACGCGGGTTCGGCGCTGCTGCTGCTGCGGCACCCGTGCACGGGTCCCGTGGCCCTGCGGCTACGGCGGCCCTAGAGAGTTGCCATTTGATTTTGTTTTCCTGACCGTGAGGTCATTTGGACTACTCCAGATTTCGTAATAACAGGGAGGGGGTTTGGACCCTCCAAGACAAGCCATTTCAGACCTCCCCCGTGGGAGAACCCTCCAAAACATCGTCCCCAGACCCCCCCAGGCTCTCCAAGATAGCCTGGAAGAGACCCCCCCCGAAATGAGACCCCCCTCCCTTTACTACGAAATATGGAGTACATGTATTTATATACATGATTCAATATTTCCGTATTGGCTCCTTATGTGTTCTCAGCAGAAGTCCGCGTTGATAGATGGTCATTGCCTGCTGCCTTTTTCGACGCAATTCATTTTCCGTGCCGTCCCCGTAATTTAAGTTGATGCCCTTTTCCGAAAGGACAGATGTCGATACCATGCCCAAAAGATAGACCACCTGCGTGGTAAATGAGTTGGGCCGTCTGGTGTCTCCTCGAGGCCATGCAGCTCGGATTCCTGCGAGGGGCACGAGGAGGACGAGGGAGTAGGGAGCATGACGAGAAAGGAGAAGGAGGTGTAGGAGGAGGAGGGGGAAGAGAATGATTGGGGGAGGAGGAGGAGGAGGAAGATTAGGACGAGGGACGAGGCACCAGTGTAAACCCAAAAATCATGTCAGCAATATCGCAATAAGCGCTTCCTTCAAGTTCCCTCTTCACAGGCCCCCCAAACATTTTTTCCATCAAGGAAATGGCCCGTTGGAAAGCAACCATTTTGTAATTCCTGAAGTGTGCCATAACACAATTCCTGGGAGTTCAACGCCGCAAATCACCGTTACTGGTGCGTGTTGACGATCCTGAACCGTGCCAGAACACCATCCCAGGAACTCCAACACCACGAGTAATGTAACTGTTGCGCCCTGACAGTTTGACATCGTGCCAAGCCACCATTGCTGCGACGTTAGCCATGAGAATCCTTGAGGCTGTTGTGAACTCTTAAAACGAATGTGCGCGGCGCTAAAGCGAGAACCACATTTTGAAAAAGGAGCCGCCATCCATCCGTCACGCCCTTAACAGTTTTTTGAAACGAATGTGCGCGGCGCCAAGGCGAGAGCCACATGGTTGAAACGACCCGCCCTTTTTCCGCGAAGCTCATGCATGCTTTTGAAACTAATGTGCGCGGCGCTAAGGCGAGAGCAACCTTTGGAAAACGACCCGGCCTCCATCCGTCACGCCTTTGCAATTTACTTGCGAACGTGCGAGGCGATAAGGCGATAACCACATATTTCGAAACGACCTGCCCTCTATCCGTGAAGCTCATGAAAATGTTTCAGACGAATGTGCGCGGCGCTAAGGCGAGAGCTACATTTTAGGAATGACCCGCCCTCCATCCGTGACGCCCTTGTAGTTTTTCCCAACCATCCTGTGGTGTTGGGTCCTCGTTTTCAAGAAACGGTCCCCGCGTTCCTCCTCCTCCTCCTTCTCCTCCTCCTCCTTCTCCTCGCCCTCCTCCCTCCTGCGTTCGCATGCCTCCCCACCACCCATTTCGGCACACCCCTCACACGTTTCGTGGCCCCATAGGGAGCTCCATCGAAGGCCCCAGTGGCTGCGTTCGCATGCCTCCCCACCACCCATTTCGGCACACCCCTCACACGTTTCGTGGCCCCATAGGGAGCTCCACCGAAGGCCCCAGTGGCTGCGTTCGCATGCCTCCCCACCACCCATTTCGGCACACCCCTCACACGTTTCGTGGCCCCATAGGGAGCTCCACCGAAGGCCCCAGTGGCAGGGTCGCATGCCTCCCCACCACCCATTTCGGCACACCCCTCACACGTTTCGTGGCCCCATAGGGAGCTCCACCGAAGGCCCCAGTGGCTGCGTTCGCATGCCCCCCACCACCCATTTCGGCACACCCCTCACACGTTTCGTGGCCCCATAGGGAGCTCCACCGAAGGCCCCAGTGGCTGCGTTCGCATGCCTCCCGCCACCCATTTCGGCACACCCCTCACACGTTTCGTGGCCCCATAGGGAGCTCCACCGAAGGCCCCAGTGGTCCGCATGCGTCCCCACACCCATTTCGGCACACCCCTCACACGTTTCGTGGCCCCACAGGGAGCTCCACCGAAGGCCCCAGTGCTGCGTCCGCATGCCCCCACACCCATTTCGGCACACCCCTCACACGTTTCGTGGCCCCATAGGGAGCTCCACCGAAGGCCCCAGTGGCTGCGTTCGCATGCCTCCCCACACCCATTTCGGCACACCCCTCACACGTTTCGTGGCCCCATAGGGAGCTCCACCGAAGGCCCCAGTGGCAGGGTCCGCGTGCCTCCCCACCACCCATTTCAGCACACCCCTCACACGTTTCGTGGCCCCATAGGGAGCTCCACCGAAGGCCCCAGTGGCGCGGTGCCTATGAGAAGAGGGGCCTAATTTGCGTGCCCCCTCCTTCGTCTCATATCCGTGCGGTACTCGCAGCTGCATATGGTTGGGTCCTTCGCCAGGCTAATTTCAGGTGGATGTGCGCGGCGATTAGGCGAGAGCCGCATTTTGAAAATTACCCGCCCTTCATCCGTGAAGGTTTTGCCAATTCTGAGTTTCAACATCATAGATGATGAGGAAGTCTCAGGGGAAACGCCAGGCCCGTCCTTTCGACCGGATTCTGGATGCGATAGGGAAGAGTTGTTTAGATGGACAAAGGAATGGAGGACGAGGAGGAGGAGGGGGGAGGAGGAGGAGGGGGATGGAGTATGAGGGAGGATATTGGAGGAGGACAGCAAGGGGGAGGAGGAGGCGGAGGAGGAGCAGGAGGAAGAGGAGGAGGAGGAGCAGGAGGAGGAGGAGGAAGAGGAAGAGGAGGAGGAGGAGGAGGAGAGGAGGAGGAAGAGGAGGAGGAGGAGGAGGAGAAATGAGGAGAGGGGGGAGGAGGAGGGGGGAGGAGGAGGGGGAGGAGGAGGAGGAGGAGGAGGAGGCGGAGGAGGCGGAGGAGGCGGAGGAGGTGGAGGAGGAGGAGGAGGCGGAGGAAGTGGAGGAGGAGGCGGAGTAGTAGGAGGAGGAAGAAGAAGGAACATAATAATAACATTTGATGTTATTCATAGTAATAATACTAATAATCAAACTGATCACAGTAATAATAGTTTTTATGAATGATAGTAATAATGAAGATACCAACAAGAAGAAGGAGGAGGATGATGTAGGAAGAACAGGAGGAGGAGGAGCTGGAGGTTGAGGAAGAGGAGGAGGAGGAGGAGGAGGAGGAAGAGGAGGAGGAGCAGGAGTAGGAGGAGGAGGAGGAGGTTGGAGGGAGGAGGAGGAGGAGGAGGAGGAGGAGGAGGAGGAGGAGGAGGAGGAGGAGGAGGGCGGAGGATGAGGGATGGGGAAGAGGCAGCATGAAGCGGCAGCACTCGCCTTGGCTCCCGCTATGTGTGTGTGTGCGCTCCCCGCTCTTCCCCGGCGTCACACACTCACGCGCGCGCGCGCCGGGCGCGAGAGGCTGGCGGCAAGAGGGACAGCAAGAAGAAGCGGCGGTCCAGCAGCAGTGGGGCTAGGGGGCGGCTCAGGGGCGGCGAGGAGGACGACGTCCTTCAACACGACCCAGACGAGGACGGACATGATGATGCTGATGATGATGATGCTGATTTTGATGATGATGATGATGATGATGATGATGATGACGATGATGATGCTGGTGCTGATGCTGATGCTGATGCTGCTGATGATGCTGATGATAATGATGACGATGCGGATGAGGATGGTGCTGATGATGACGACGACGATGATGATGATGCTGCTGATGATGCTGATGATGGTAATGGAGATGATGATGATGATGATGATGGTGATGATGATGGTGATGGTGACAATGGTTATGATGCTGATGACGATGCCGAGGATGTAGTGTTGTTGACGATGATGATTATGACGATGCTGATGCTGATTATGACGATGATAGTGATGGTGATGATGATGGTGATGGTGATGGTGATGAGGATGGTGATGGTGATGATGATGATGATGATGATGCTGATGGTGACGGTGATGGTGATGGTAGTGATGATGCTGCTGATGATGATTTCATGACGCTGATGATGATGGGGATGTTGACGATGATGACGACGTACTCTTTCTGTCTGATGAGGATGCATGGATGTACATTCGATTATAGGGGATGGTTTGTTGTTTGTTTGTTTGATTGTTTGTTTGTTGGTTGGTTGGTTGGTTGTTTGATTGGTTGGTTGGCTGTTGAGCTGGTTTGTTGGTCGGTCGGTTGGTTGGTTAGTTGGTTGGTTGGTTTTTGTTCGTTGTTTGATTGAGGCTAATGCTGGTGCTGCTGATGATGACGGTGATGAGGAGGAGGAGGAGGAGGCGGGAAGAGTAGGATGGAGGAAGTAACAGGAGGAGGAGGAGGGGGAGGAGGAGGAGGAGGAGGAGGAGGAGGAGGAGGACAAGAGTAAGCCTCATATCCATTAACGCACTTGGAATCCACTTTCCCTCTGAGCTCCCTCTTCGTAGGCTCCTATAAGGGTTTTCATTTCCACTGAGGAAGTGCCCCGTTTGGGGACAACCGTGCGACAATCTTGAAGCGTGTCAAAGCACCGTTCTCAGGACTCCAACGCCACGGGTCCACGTGACTGTCTCGTATTGACGGTCCTGAATCGTGCCAGAACGCCACCGTCCTAGGATTCCAGCACAGTGAACCAACGTAACTCTTGCAACCTGGCGGTTCTGAATCGTACCAACGCGCAATTTTTATTACGTTAACCCTGAGAATCCATGAAACCCTTGTACTTGTTGAAACGAATGGGCGCGGCGCTGAAGCGAGAGCCACATTTCGAACGAGAGCCGCCCTCAATCCGTGACGCCCTTGTAAATGTTTGCAACGAATGTGCGCGGCGTTAGGACGAGAGCCCCACTTTGAACACCACCCGCCGCCCTCCATCCGTGAAGTTCCTGCAACTTGTCCAGCGTGTCAGTAAAGCGTCATGCATGTCACCCGCGCAAGGCAGCGCAGGACAGCGCAGGTCGGCGCAGGTCAGAGCAGGTCAGCGGGTCAGCTCTGACCCGCGTGACCTGCGCCGACCTGCGCTGGCCTGTGCTGGCCTGCTCTGACCACCTCTGGGGTTTGTAGAGCTCCTGCGGGCCCCGTGGAACCCCTGGGGTTCATGGAATTCTCTCCGCCTTGTTTTGTGGAACTTCCTCTTCGGTTTGTGGAACTCCCTCCCCTGGGGGTCCTGTGGAACCCCCCTGGGGTGCGCAGAACTCGCTCCCCCTTGGTTTGTGGAACTCCCTCCCCGAGGGTCCTGTGGAACTCCCTCCCCCACGGTTTGTGGATCTCCCTCCCCGCGGTGTCTTGTGGAATTCTTCTTGGGTTTGTGGCACTCCCTCCCCCTTAGTTCGCGTAGCAACTACGGCGATTACTGCGCTACGAACATGGTGTAAATACGACAACCCCGAGTACAAGGACAGCTACCATCACAGCCATCCTACTACTAGTGTTACTACTACTACTACTACTACTACTACTACTACTACTACTACTACTACTGCTACTACTACTACTACTACGACTACTACGACTATTGCTGCTACTACTAGCACTACCGCTACTACGCTTACTACTTCTACTACGATTACCACTTCCACTACTACGACTACTACTACTACCGCTACTACTACTATTACTACTACTACTACCACTACTACTACTACCACTACTACTACTACTGCTACTACTACTACTACTTTTACTACGACTACTACTACTACTACTACCACTACTACGACTATTGCTGCTACTACTAGCACCACCGCTACTACGTTTACTACTTCTACTACGATTACCACTTCCACTACTACGACTACTACTACTACTACTACTACTACTACTACTACCGCTACTACTACTACTACTACCACTACTACTACTACTTCTACTGCTACTACTATTACTGCTACTACTACTACTACTACTGCTGCTACTACTACTACTACTACTACGACGACTAACTACTACTAGACTACCGGTACTACTACTACTACTACTACTACTACTTCTACTATTTCTACTCTGCTACTACTACCCCGCGACTACTATTCCGATACTTCCATCCTACCTGATACACATCACTAGTATTGCTATCGCTATGGTTAATCCCGCTACCAGTACTAGTACTAGTACTAGTACTAGTACTAGTACTAGTACTAGTACTACTACTACTACTACTACTACTACTACTACTACTAGCACGATCTTACCTCTATGACCTCTACTACTCATACTCCTACTCCAATCATTACAACAACAACCGCTACTACTACTTCTACGACTGATATTTTTTGCTGTCGCTGCTATTACTACCCGTATTACGACTTTCACTACGACTGCGATTTTTCCGATTATCACCAGTACTACTACTACTACTATCACTACTACTACTACTACTACTACTACTACTACTACTACTACTACTACTACTACTACTACTACTACTACTACTACTACTAGTACGACTATTATTTCCACTACTATTTCTATCACTCCTACTACGACTAGCACTGCTGGTACCTTCGCCAGTACTAGTACTACCACCGGTAGTACTTCCTTTAACATTACCACGCCTACCGCGACACCACTGTCTGGTTGTTACCACCACTCTGGTTGTTACTTTTCCTCCGGCTGCCACTGCTGCTACTACGATCGCTAAGCCGATACTGCGATTGCTGATGTTACTTCTGGTATGTTCACCATTACGAGTTCTACCACTCTTACTATTTATACTTCCATTACCGATACTACCACTACTACTACACTGCTATTACCGTGCTATTCATATTGGTAGTGTTTATGTGGCGATTCTTAATTTTATTATTGCTACTACTACTGCTGTACTGCAATTACATACAGTTGCAACTGCTACCATCACAGTTCTTGTCATTACTGCCACCTCCACCACTACTAACGCTATGATGCTGCTGCTGATGATGATGATGGTGGCGGTGGTGATGACGATGATGACGATAATGCTGCTAATCATGAAGAGGATGATGGTGATGATGATGAATATGATGATGATGCTGGTATTGCTCATGATGATGCTGTGATGATGCTGATAATGCGTATTAGCTAGTGATGAAGATGATGTTGATGACGATGACGATGATGATGGTGATGATGGTGATGAACATGATGATGATGATGATGATGATGATGATTATGATGATGACGCTGATGCTGATGATGATGCTGATCATGATGATGGTGGCGGTGATAATAATGTCGATAGTTATGATGCTACTGATGATGACGATGATGATGCTCATGATGATGACGATGATGCCGCTGATGATTATGCTTCTGATGTTGACATGGATAATGATGCTGATGATGCTGATGATGCTGATGATGCTGATGATGCTGATGATGCTGATGGTGCTGCTGATGATGCTGATGCTGGTATTGATGATGATGCTGCTGATGATGATGATGATAATGCTGCTTACGCTGGAGGTGCTGATGGCGCTGATTCTGATGCTGATGATGGTGGAGGTAGTGGTGACGATGATGGGGATGACTCCAAGGATGATGATGCTGATGATGACGATGATGATGCTGTTGCTGCTGATTATAATGCTGATGCTGATGATGACGTTGACGATAATGATGATGTTGCTGATGATGATGATGATGATGATGATGATGATGATGATGATGATGGTGATGATGATGATGGCTGATGATGCTGATCCTGGGTGGTGATGATAATGGTATTAATGAGGACGATAACTCTGATGATGACGATGATGACGCTGCTGATGATGATGACGATGATGATGCTGGTGATGCTAATCATGCTGATGATAATCATGCCGCGGATAGTGATGATGATGGAAGTGGTGGTGGTGATGATTAACATGATGTTAATGATGATGATAATTATGCCGCTGATGCTGATTGATGATGATGGTGGTTGTCATGATTGTGATAATGATGATGCAGATGATCATGAAAATCATGATTGCTGTGGTGATGCTGATGGTGATGATGCTGTTGCTGCTGCTGATGATGATGCTGATGATGATGCTAATGATGAGAATGAGGCTGATGCTGATGCTGATGCTGATGCTGATGCTGATGATGACGGTAACGATGACGATTATGATGATGATGGCTTTGATGATGATGATGGTGGTGATGATAATCATGACGATGATGATCATGATGATGGTGGTTGTGGTGGTGATGATGATGATTTTGATGATGCTGATGCTGATGCTGATGCTGATGATCACGATGACGATGATGATGCTGCCGCTGCAGTTGATGATGATGATGATGATGATGATGGTGGTGGTGGTGGTTGTGGTGATGATGATGACGACGATGATGATGACGACGATGATGATGATGATGATGATGATGATGATGATGATGATGATGATGATGATGATGATGATGATGATGATGATGATGATGATTAGGAGGAGGAGGGGGAGGAGGAGGAGGAGGAGGAGGAGGAGGAGGAGGAGGAGGAGGGAGGAAGGGGAGGAGGAGGGGGAGGAGGAGGTAGGAGGAGGAGGAGGAGGAGGAGGAGGAGGAATAGGACAACCAATGAATGGCAAGGGGGGAGCTCAACCAGCCGAGGGAGCATGGAGATAGGCAACTGTAGTAGATGAGGGACGTGCACCAAGAAAGGAACGGCGGGTACGTCGACATATTTTTTTACGTGGCAGCGCGGCAGGCGCAATCCGCGCACGCGCTTGAATATCCCAGGACGCCCGGCATACTAATTGTCTAGTTGCAAGAGAAAGAACAGGCTGGGAGGGGTGGCCAGGAAGGACGGGATGGGGAGGAGGGCACTCACCGCGGAAAGAATTTCAGGATGAGCGCGCCAGTGCGGCCAGCCGAGGCTGAAGTGTCCTGGCAGTGGGCGCGGGACGGCATCACGACCACACCTAGGGACCGAAGCCAAGGCTGCAGGCGCAGGAAGCGTGATGAGCAAGGTGAACCAGCGGGTCAGGGAGCACGGCATGAAGAGGACCCACGGCAGCAGGAGCGGGAGCATCCGAATGTTCACCTTACCACCCACCAAACCACCCCAACCCAACCCGAAGGCTCAGATTTACCCTCGATTTCCAGTGGGGGGGGGGTTCGGGAAACATCGAAAAGACACACGTGGAACCCTTACCCCCCCCCAACCCGAAATTCGGGTCTTCGGGTTGGGTTGGGGTGGTCTGGTAGGTAGTCATCACCATGGTGCCGAGAACGTCAGGATTTGCTGCAGAGGAACGGCGCCAGCAGGACGCAGGAACACCGATGCTGGCGCACAGCGAAACGAGGAGACCAGTATCCTCTTCGGCGGGGCAGGGCAGGACCAGGGAGGAGGAGGAGGAGGAGGAGGAGGAGGAGGAGGAAGGAGGAGGAGGAGGAAGGGAGGGGAGGAGGAGGATGAGTGAGAGGATGAGGAGGAGGAGGAGGAGGAATGAGGAGGAGTAGGAGGAGGAGGAGGAGGAGAGGATGAGGAGGAGGAGGAGGAGGAAGGAGGAGAGGAGGGAGGAAGAGGGAGGAGAGGAGGGGAGGGGTGAGGGGGAGGGGGAGGAGGAAGGATGAGAGGAGGAGGAAGGAGGGGAGAGGAGGAGGAGGAAGGCAGGAGGAGGAGGAGAGAGGTGGAGGAGGAGGAGGAAGGCGGATGAGGAAGGAGGAGGAGGAGGGGGAGGAGAGGAGGAGGAGGGGGAGGAGAGGAGGGAGGAGGAGGAGTGGGGGAGGAGGGGCAGGAGGGGGAGGAGGGGGAGGAGGGGGAGGAGGAGGAGGAGGACGAGGAGGAGGAGGAGGAGGAGGAGGAGGACGAGGGGGAGGATGAGGAGGAGGAGGAGGAGGAGGAGGAGGAGGAGGAGGAGGAGGAGGAGGAGGAGGAGGGGGGCGGCCCCGGGCACGTTCGCGGGCAAGGGAGGGCCACAGCTCGTGCTGTAGGAGAAGGGAAGGGGCATGAAATCGGGCATGGCCCTGGCCATGATATCCGCGCAGCTCTGGTCCTCAGCCCCTCTGGAAGGCCCCCAGCCCGCATCCTGGGCGAAGCTGCGCTCGTCGCGGCTCCTCGCCGCGGCCACAGCCACCATGGGCAGAGCAGGCGGCACCCAGCAGTTCTCCGGCCCCTCTGCGGCGCATCCGAGCGGGAGGGTGCCCGCCCTGCTCCGGGGAGGTAGCAGCCACCCAGCCCGGCGCCACGGGCAGAGGGCGGTCGCTGCCGGCAAGGCGGCCGGCCCCTCCCTTCGCGCGCGGCCGTTTCGCAAGCGGAGCGGTGGGTCAAGCAGTGGCGAAGCGTCCTGGCTCGCCTATCGCCCTACCAAACAATGCTCTAAGAACCCTTCGTGGTTTCCATGAAATGTTCTTAGAACATTTCTGGCGGAGTCTGTCTTGTTTTATCACATCGGGTTTATGTTCTAAGAACATTGTTTTTGTTCTTACAACATTTTTGGGTTCTACGAGAATTTCGTGGTAGGGCTATAGAAATGCCGGGACGGTCGGTCCCTGCTCAAGTGGGAGGCAGAAGACTGGGGAGAGGGGTCCTAACGCAGCGGCTCGCTCTGGTTTGGAGGAGGGCTTGCCTTGATGATTTTGCCATGGTTACTGGAGGACGTGCTGCTATTTTGTTATGGTTATTGTGTGGACGTGCACAGGGGTCAGGTGTGGTTTATGGCTAGGACACCTGATGCTTTTCCCTCCCTGGGTCATTCTGGGCAGGGCATGATTCGTTTGCCGTCGCGGGGGTCCGCGGCATCGCGTGGCGGATACACTTGGGCACGCGCTATTGTACCGCTTCTCGCTATTCCTCCTCCTCCTCCTCCTCCTCCTCCTCCTCCTCCTCCTCCTGGGAATGAGGAAGCGGAGGCTGACGTGCACAGGGGGCCTAGTCGGAAGGCACCAACTATACGCCTACACCGATCTTGGCCAGGCCAATCCTGCGCCCAGGATCGGTGTATATACCTTCCTGCCCCAGGCAGGAGGGCGTATACACCGATCCTGGGCCCAGGGTGATCCTGGCCAGGATCGGTGTTGGTGTATAGTTGGTGCCCTCCTAAGGGGGCCCAGGCATCGCCACGAGATCCGGCGTGGCGAAGCAGCTGCCCAGAGCGACCTGCGGGAGTCTCGGGGCCCGAGACGGGGCAGGCACGCTGGGCGTGGGCTCGTGCCACCTCCTTTCCCCTCGCTCCTCCTCCGCCCCTCCTACTGCTCCTCCTCACTCTCCCCTCCTCCCCTCCTACCCCCCTCCTCCTGCCCCCCCCCCCCCCCCCCTCCCCCCCCTCCATCTTCCCCCCATCCTCCTCCTCCTCCTCCTTCCTCCTCCTCCTCCTCCTACCTCTCCTCCTCCTCCTCCTCCTCCTCCTCCTCCGCCTCCTCCCTACCTCCTCCTCCACCTCCTCCTCCTCCTCCTCCTCCTCCTCCTCCTCCTCCTCCTCCTCCCCCCCCCCCCCTGGAGGATCCGTGTGCCTCTCGGACGAGGCCAGGACGAGGATTCATCCGTCTCAGAGCGTTCCGGAACGCTCTCAGAGCTTTCCAGAACGCTCAGTGAGCCACGTGAAGGACCATCAAAGCATGGGAAACGTCAGGGGTGGATAGGCCAAGGGGGGGATGCATCGACCCCCAGTCGCCCATTCATCGCCGATAGGGGCTTGCTAGCCCCGACCTGCCAGGAGCGTGCAGACTCGCCATCGGGTGCTTATGGCCGATCTGTCGGCGATGTATCGCCGATTCCAAGTCGATGTTTTCCCCCTGAGCTGGCCCTCCCTATCGTTGCCCCTCCTCAAAGCAGGGGCATTGAGACAGAGGTCTTCGATCCCCCGTGCTGGGCGTCGCGCGGCCCCCCCCCTGCCGCTCGTGCTGCTCCCGCTGCTCCTGCCAACCTTAGATAACGGCACTGTGGGGCCGACGCGATTTTTTAAGGTATTTTGTCGGGTCCCCCCACAAGAAGATATTTTTCGTTGCCCTCCTCTCGCTGACGTGATTGTTGCGCCCTGGCAATCCTCATCGTGCCAAAACACCGTCCCTGGGATTTCAACACTGCGAGTCAGCGTGACCGTTGCGTCCTGACGTTCCTAAATCGTGCTGGCACACCATTCCTGTGTTTCTGGGACTTCATCCAGTCGAACCCTGGAAACTTCTGTAACCTTTGAGATGAACGCGGCGCTAAGGCGAGAGCTCCATTTTGAAACCCACCCGCCCTCCATCCTTGAAGCTGTTGCACCCTTCAAAATTCAGGATCATGAGCGGCGAGGAGGTCTCAGGCAAAACGCTCCGCCCCGCCCCCCCAACACGCTTCCGGGTGCCACAGGGACGAGTTGTCTGAACGGACAGGGATTGACTACGAGAAGGAGGAGGAGGAAGAGGAGGATGAGGACGAGGATGAGGACGGAGGAG